AGTTATTTTGAGCACCTTGTGGCATTCCTTTCTCGCTTCCCATTTTACTCCTTCGACTCCAACCACCGCCCCTCTCAACCAGTCGCTATTGCACTCAAGTGACTCGTCTTCGCCTACATTGGCTCCGCCAGCCTCGTCTGCTCAAACTACTAAATCCGCCCACGCTACTACACGTGCGCAACGCGTCGTGGGCATCAGCCCGGCACATGGGGGACGCAAGAAAGATTATGCTTGGCAGCTAGTAGAGGTGGATCAAGATAAAATGGTGTGGTGTCTGCGCTGTGGACAGCTTGTTCACACACAAGGTCGCAACCACGTCGCTCGTGTTCGTCGTCACGTCTACGAAAAATGCTTTAAGTTTTCTGTGCAGCCGAAGCTTACGGACACCATTAAGCCGACACTGAAGCCCACTGTGTTGAGCAGCTTCAGGAGTGTTTTGCCCAGTAGGTTTTCTCCACAAAATGGCATTCTACAAGGTAGAGCACGAATCTCGCTGAAGGCTCTGTAGATACTCAACTCCAGTGCTGAAGTCCCAAGTTGTTTTTAATTTTCTTCTGGACCATGCCTACTCCAAACCTTTGACCTGGTTGCAGACCGAACTCAATGTAGTCGTTGTCACGATTGTAACCGACGGTTGGACCGATATAAATGGTCTGTCGGTGATCAACTATGTCGCTGTAGCCGGCAAGATGGCCTTTTTAGCGTTAGTTTTTACCGGCTGACAATCTCACGACACGGAGTTTTCTCGTGCAGGACATTACACGTCTTTTCAAGATCCAAGTATGTGCTGTAGTTACTGGTAACACGGCCGCAAACAAGGCAGCCTGGGAACAGCTCCAACCTGACTTTCCCCGTGCCTTTTTCCACGGCTGTGCTTGCCGCGCCCTACTTATCCTCGTCAAAGACACTGTAGTCCATCTAAAGTGGCTTGGCGAGCTGCTTGCGAGCTGTAAGATCATCGTCCGCTTCTTCAAGACCAATCACAAACTTTGGTTTAAGCTACACTTAAAGCTGAAATCACTTGGACCCCGGATGCTGGCCCTGCCTGAAGATACGCGGTGGCGCTCTATTTTAGTCTGCATGAGCTCCAATTTGAAAGCTGAAGAAGTTCTGTTTGCGATGGTCTCTGCGCGATATTTCTTGGTGGCGAAGCCATCGCTTGGTGTATAACGCTATCACGGCGACAGATTGTGTTCCAAAGTTGAAAAGGGCCACAGCACTGCTCAAACGCTTTGGTGAGCCGCTGAAAAGATTTGAGAAGAACAGCAGTCCGGTATTAGAAGTGTACCAACCTTTCCTTGATTTGCCTGAAGCTGTGGCGCCGTGCCAACTTCCTGCGAAGGACGTATAGGTCACGAAGAAGTTGATTATCGAGCGGTTCGACTTCATTTATGGGGATGCTCATGGGGTTGGGCATTTGTTGGATCCACGCTACAGTGGTGAAGGGATGGATACGGACACTACGTCGAATGTGGAGGAGTTCACAATGCAGTGGCATGGAGGTGATGAGGGTATAAGCGAAGAGACAGCTGACGCGGTCGTGATTGAGCTTGTCCGCTTTCATCGCTTTGCTGCAGAGCTAGCTCTTAAGGCATCAAGGTCATGGACCCTCCTAGCTAACGGCAAACTTGCTGTGTACGACTTCTGGTGCACATTGAACCAGTTTAAAAATAATTTTTGATTAAAAAAAATCAAATTAATAATATTGATAATATGCTTCAAGAATTTTTTCAGATGTTTTCTAACTTTATTGGGTATCGTCTACAATTTAGTTGGTATTTTATTTAAAGTAGGGGCTTCACCTTTTCATTTTTGGTTACCTGATGTATCACCTCCAAGCTATTGCTAAACATGTGTTTTATTGCACAGTAGTAAGCTCAGCGTCGGAGCGCAGCTTCTCCACTGATGGCTTTATCTATTCAAAGCAACGGAATCGACTGGCTTCGGATAGGGTTGAAATACACGTGCACATATACTACAACTCGAGGAGCATTCAAGACGAAGATATCTATGTGGTTAGCTCTAAATTGATTCGTATACGGAACCGGCCTGATTTCTGGTCTGATGTTTGTCTCATTAATGATCAGAGCAAGGATCTGAAGAACCGTGGCGAAGTGATGGGGAACACTCATTCGGGAAGATGCATCAAGGTGCAGACGTGGGTGTTCTAGAGGAGACAAGTGGTGATGCGGCGGAGCAGCGACTGTATGACGGAGTGGAGGAGGTCGGCAGAAATTAGTGGTGCCGAGACCCCAGTGATCAAGACGTGAGTGGGCCCAGCAACAGCGGCGGCGTGGGGCCGAGACGTGCAGAGCGAGCGACTTGCTACTTCAAGGGCTACAAGTACGTGCGTGCATGGGCGTCGCAGCGGAAGATTGTCTATCGTTGCTCTTAGTATCGAAAGGGCTGTAAGGGAAGATGGAGTACACGATTGCTGCCATGGGCTACCATATCGTTACGAGCTCCATTAGAAACGTAGAGAGCGAAATGAAAGCACAGAGTGATCTTCTTGCGATTGAGGATGTAGCGTGGCCAGCCCGCCAAGTTTGGGAGAAGCTTCGCAGTCGGTTTTCCGGTGCGACAACCCTGACGTTGTACGTAGGTGGTCAGAAAGCCAAGTTATCCGACGTGCTCACCGTGTGAGGAACCAACACTACTCCGGTAACGTACACGGATCCATTGAGATCCCACCACTCTCACTTGCACTCGACGAGGAAGTGTCACTCTTTCAGCTCCACTTTGTGACGGCAAGCCGTGAGGACGTGACTAAACCTACGCGCCTTTTGGGCTAGGCTCACCCAGCACTGGTAGCCCTGCTACGCTACCACGGAACGACGCTATTGGTCGATGGTACATTTCGCTGTGCGCACAATGCGTCATATTTATGGTGCATGATCGCGCTTCGGGTGTTATGTGCCAGTTTTTTACGTGTTGAGCACTGCAAAACCTGAAGACGCGTATTGGGACATGGTTTAATTTGTTGTCCAAGCGACAGATCAGCAGCTCGAGCCGGCGGGGATTGCTTGCGACTTCGAAGCCGCGCTAATGAATACCCTCCAGACTCAGTTCCCAAACGCTATTGTCTTGGGGTGCTTGTTCCACATGAAACAGGCACTCCGTCGTGCAATGAAACGCTATGCAATAGCTGATGAGGAGTGTATAATTGCGATGACACGCGGCGTGTTAAACACGCTGACTGTAATTGACTATGAACAAGTAGAAAGAGGCATCAAGTGGGTGAGGCGAGATCAAGAAGCGCTGCATTTTAGCTAAAAGTGAGTACTATACTGCGAAATGGGAGGAATTTTGGTGCTATTTCGAGAGGACGTGGCTCGAGAAGTACACGATTGACGTGTGGAACGTGTTTGGTCTCGACAACGAGCTTGTTGTGAGGACCAACAACCCGCTCGAACGTTTCAATAGAAAGCTAAACAGTAGGTTTCCTACTCCGCACCCTTCGATGGCCACATTTGTGGCCGTCATCAAGACGATAGCAGCCGAGTACGCTCGCCGAATTGGCGACGTGCCCCGTGCCCGTGCCCGCAGAGTTACTCGCGAGCGGATCCAGCATACAGAGCCCGTCAATATTCCTGCCGACATCGACAGCGACGTGAACGAAGCTACGGCGCTTGCTCTGCGCGCCTCCGACTCCAGTAGTCTCCAATTAGGTCGTGCCTGGTATCTAGTAACACAGCCCTCCAAAGCACTTAACTTCTTCCCCACGTTGTTCAGTATCCACGTTGGCCACGTCAGGTAGCTACTAGCACAGTCATCCAACGCATTCAGCTTCTTCCCATACAAAAACCTCCTTCCAATAGTAAAGTGATCAGCTCATACTTCAGATCTACGGTTCTGATCTTCAACCTGATCAGAACCGTATACGATCCAAAAATAAATTCAACCATCTATGTGTATACAGAGCTCGATGACAAAATACGCTTGATGAAGGCATATGACAAAGAAAAAAGCAACAGCCGAGATAGCGACTTCATTTACGACTAGGTAAAAGGTACCATCGAATTGGCTCAAAAGAACGCTGAATAGTAAAATCATAGGTAGCATAACCTTTTAGCATTTTTCAAAAAATAATTCAATACTTTTGATAAAAGATTGTATTTAATTGCCAGCTACCAAGCGCATTTTGCTGCTTTGTTTGGTTATTACGCTAAGCTTTCTATTAAAACAATTGTGAAAAACAAACCCAGTAGTGCACGTTTCGGAAACACGCCATGTAAAGACCGTCCCGATTCCCACGTGCTGTGACGTACTATTTCTCTACGACAGCACCTTTTAGACTTAATTCGTGAAGTTGCTCAATTTTTGTATCGGAAACACTGGGATACTATGCTAGTTACAGTTAATGTTGTAGATGGGCGGTGAACGCGAACGTTCGCGTCGTGGACGCCGGCGTCGTATGGACGCAGACGCCGTTTCCAGTAAGTGCTGACTCTCCCCTCGAGACCCAGCTGATGCAGGGCCTCCTCCCACTCTGCTTGATGAGCATGGTGAGCTCCATTATCAGGTGGAACGCCTTGTGACGAGGCGTAGACGCCAGGGTCGCACCCAGTACTTTGTGAAGTCGAGGGGCCACAGAACCCATGGGAGTACGAAGTTTTCCTCCGGCAAGATTGCCCTGACGTCGTGGACGCTTACAGCAGGGCACACTCTGTGCCGAAGCGCCACCATGGCGTGCAACAGCGTCGCTAGGCGCTGGGCGCCTCCCACTAGAGTGGGGGGGGGCAACTTGGTCAGCAGTTGAGCTCAGGCTCTGACCAGTGGCTGTAGCCGCCAGCTCGCACGTATGTGCGGTGCCCGCAGCGGGAGCAGGATGTGGAGAGACCTCGTGGTGTTGGGAACGTGGTCCAGTAGAAAGCAGGTGCTACGTGTTGTGCTGAACAAAGTTCAGGCACAAGCATTCTGATAGACGCGTAGCTGTTTTGAAACAACTTGCTCGATGAGCATGATCCAAATGTGGATGTGCTCTAACAGCGAGAGTGGCGTGTCCTGGACGGGGATCGAACCACTGGACTTTGGATTTCTGAACCAAAGCTCTACCATTGAGCTATCAGGGCGATGCCCGTAAGTTTGGCCGAGTACGGACTACTCATAGTATGAAAGGGCTGCGCCCTAATGACATCGAGCCATTGGCCTGTGGCTTACGAAGCCAACGCTCAACCACTGAGCTAAAAGGGCGATGCTCTTATGCTTGTCCACTCTAGGACAACAGTTCAGGGAACAAGAGGGCTGTGCCCTGGTGGGTTCGAACCACCGATCTGTGTCTCTCTAAGCCAACGCTCAACCATTGAGCTAAAATGGTAATACCCTGAAGTCTGTTCGAGCGTGGATAATCGTTCATGGAACGAGAGGGCAACGCCCTGGTGGGATCGAACCATCGACCTTTCGCTTGTGAAGTGAGTGTTCAGCCGTTGAGCTGTTGTCGACGACTTGGACGAGTCAAGAGCCTAGTGCTAAGCGGTTTGCAGCTCTTAGAGTAGGCGCGGAACGCGAGCGTTGGTCTGGGACCGCTTGAGAATAAGATGCGCGGTGCGCTTGGAGCATTGGGCCGTGGGCCGACAACGAAAAGTTGGGCATCAACGATGCGTAGGTGTTTGTGAGCTCGCGGAGCTACACATCGCTGGCGTGAGTGTAGCAGACTCCGCCGTCTTGACAAGATGCGTCTCCACTGAGGAAGGCTTGAGAACGCGGATGTTCCCAACTTAGTGGGGGAGAGTGTGACGGGGTTACATGGTGTGATACACACAGGGGTACGGAGTACTCAGAGAGCTAACAAACTCTCAGTACGTTGGCCGAAAGCCACACTTTATGCATTGGATTAGGTTTAACTATGCTAGATAGTTAAACAGATACATTTACCCCTAGGCGGCTTGGCCGCAAAAAAAGTAAAAAAAAACACTTCTGATTTTGAAGCATAAAAGCTAAGGTATTAGCTTTGAGCCCTGGTCGTGGACTGTGAGTTCTATTGGATAAGGAACTTAGTATTAGTGACTCTTTGAGCCGAACGTCTTCCTCTGACGCTAAAGCTACGGCACTCACGCTGCATTTCCCGTGTCAATCCGCATAGTGGGCTCTTAAACCGGTTCACTGTAGGCCGTGATTACAGTCCAAATCCCACAGTAGACCAAATAGCCGTAGGTGGCTCTCTGCTGCGACGTCCATCGTGTGAAACAGCTACGGCTCCAGCGAGCGCTGCAGCGACGTCCACAAATTCTTGGTCGATGTCCTCCGCCATCTTTTTGGGCTACCAAACATGTACCTGTGAAATGTAATAACAGAGCACCTTGCGACTGAGCTGAGTGGACAGAGACGGCGACAGCGACTGATAAATGAGATCGCCGTAATTTTCAACTTGAGTAGTACTACAATGCGTGCTATTCATGATAAATTAAAGGACGACCTTAGCGTCCAGGTTTCCCAGATTGAAAAAATACTCAGAAATCTGATTCTCCATGGATAGTCCAGCTAGGGGGCCAGGTTTCGCCCAGGTTTCCTTATAGAGAACGGAATCAGATTTGGTAATTTACATTCGGGAGCTTAAATGACCAAATCAGGTATTTTCCAGGTATAAAACCTGGGATACTCATGTGTGCACGACTTAGGCTAAAGTGGAAATGATCGTAGGCAGTCGACGTCGGAACTCACCGCAACCAATCGTTTTCTTCACCGTTTACCCAGGTATTTTACAGGTTTTAAAACCTGGGATACGCTACTTCGAAAAATTCTGGAGTGATGGCCGCTGCGGTGTGTCGGCGTTCACGCTCATGGTGGCGTATCACGAATGTACCATTATCGACTTCTGCACCATACAGTCATTGTCCAGGTTTTGCCCAAGAATTGACCATGTATTCAAATCGTTAGTGTTTGCATGCATGTTGCACTGACGGATATGCACTAATAACTAGCGCGGCCTCAACTTCATGACTGCGTGCAGCATCTCCCACCTCAGCTTCGTAATACCAGCTGGGGACACATCGCTGGGGGATTCGCTGCTCACGCAAGTCCAGAAAAACCGGCACACAAACACACCGCAACTGTCACTGTCCGTTTGCACCGGCTCGGTTACTTCCAAAGCTTCGTAGGAATCGTCACGTAGAGGCCCAGTACGGATTTCTTCAGCCATCTTCTGCAACCGTTTCTTGTTTCTCTTACCGCCCATGCTGTCGTACATCTTAATAACCTTGGTGTCTCGGTCAACCACGAGGCATCCCCAATGCGTGCCACCAAAATTGATAGGAAGAAGCACGAATTGGTGCGAGGCAACACTTTCACCAACTTTGTCGAGCGTGCTTGTAGAGATACGACTTTTGGTGGCCTTCGGTTGGGTTCCATTCTTGGCATCTTTGGCTTTTTTGGAGGGCGGAATGACGACTGTACAATTGTTCTTGTACCGTGCGAGACAAACCGCAAAAGCACGCATGGCATTATCGTTTAGCCAAGCGGAATCTCGAAAGCAAAAGAGATTGGTGTACGTCAGGTCGAATCCGAACCCAACCAGCGGTGTATACGGCCAACACTCCAGAATCTTTCCCATTATAATACCCGCTGAAGCGGGATCACTGACCGCGGGTTTAACAGTGCTATTCAACCAGGTACAGCAAAGAACAGCATTGCGACAAGTATCTTGTAGCCCCCACAAGGATTTCATAGCTTCCAGTTGCTCTCTGGTGAACTGACCAACTTTTTCAATTGACACCACGTAGCTCTCAATGCTGCCCATTCGCTCACCGTCACTGTCCAACTCAATTTCTTCATCTAGCGCCAATCCGCCCCTCAACTTATCCAACGCATCATCAACAAGCGATTCGACTAGCCGGAATCGCACTCGATCTGGCACGTAATCTCCGTCGACGCGCCACTGAATTGACATTCCCTCACCATTCTTGTTGACTGGAAAGGTAGTAAGGAAAGACCCAACTTCGCGAACTCCAGGCATGATCATTCATAGAGTATACACCACGTGCACTTTCGTGCACCGAAGAAACATTTGCCGATGACTCTCTGTTGAAGTCCATAATCGTCTCAGCCACGGCATCGTTATCAGACAACTCCACACCTGCGAATGCATCAAGTTAGAGGGGAACAAGAAGACAAGACATGTAATCAAACCAAATATTTACCTTGCTTACGCAGCCGGCGAAGTAGATTGTGCACATCATCCATGGAGACTCGGTGCTTTGAGTTCTCTCGAATGTAGTTGTACACGCTTGTTGTCCCGGCTTCGGATTCAACCAGCAGCTCAATACCTGACATCAAAGGTGAGTCCGCCGGAACCTGGCGAATACCTGGATAAGACCTGTAATTGTCTTCGGAGACACGATGATTATGGGCGTACACTTCACGCTTCATCACAACGCCCCATTGACCGTCACTACGCTTGGTAGCTTGAGCCAGCATCTGAAACGGACAATCGGTAGTACTCAGCTTGTGTGACGTCCGCTTTCCCGTTGATCTGTCACGTTCTGACCACCCATGCGTACAGATAAACTTGCGCTGATAAGGTTCCATCTCTGCAGGGACGAGAGGCAACTCTGAGTCAGGAAGCCCCTTGGTACCTCACTTGGCGCCGAAGATCAGCATTCCTGCGGGCTACATTGATCACCTCTTTCACCACGATCTTTTGGCGCGTCGCCTCCATGTATTCCTTGAGAGCCTGCTCCAGCGAGGCCCACGAATCATGATGCGTCTTAAATACAGGGACCTGAACCAGCTCTTCTTCTTCGACATCGGAGACGGTTCTTTGCTTTCCTTGACGACGCTTTCTCGTTGGTTCCGTCTCCACTTCATCTTCTTCCAGTTCACCCTCTTCTTCTTCGCCCGAAGCGACCTTCTCCTCCTCTGCATCCTCTTCATCTTCCACCGAATCGTCCTCTTCATCGCCCGTAGTCTTCTTTGCTTCACTCGACGTGTCCACACCTCCCTGCCCTTCCTCACCATCTCCTCCTTCATCTGCGACGTCTTCTGTTGCCTCCTCCACTCGCTCTTGAGCATTGCTGTCCTCTGCTACTTCAGTTGGACTAGGGCGAGATGTCTCCATGATTTCTCTGGCGTGTGCTCTCTCTGAGCGCGTACGCGCCGCACGCAAGAGAGCGAGGTTAGCCTGACGAGCTTCCTCGGCCACACGCTCTTGCTCTGCCATCTTCGCCTTGATCTGGGCAGTCTTGTGCGTGCGTGCTATCCTCGGTGCGTGGGAGGGGGGGGGCTGCCACGTGTCTCCCTAACTGGTGGCTAGGAATCAAAAGAAGAAAATGAGAGTAATTTAAACCGTAAAAACTCTATCTGGACAATACCTGCCGGTATACCTGGACAATACCTGAGTGATAAAACCTGGACAAGAGGGGTGCCGTAAATTAAATTGAATTATTACTCTGCAAGTACCGTATTTGAGATCTCCTACTTCAGAGTGATCTCCTAATTCAGACTGCCCTCCAACCAATCACATATCGAGAATGGAACAGCGCACAAGTCTAGATCTCCTAATTCAGAGTACAAAAAACATGCTAAACTGTAACTATCCACCAGCTCATTGCCAGAAGTTTGCAATGGCGCGCACTCCCCTCACGCTCGGCCAACGGAAAGGGAGAACCCGTATTTCTGGCACTGGCAAGCCTCCCAAGAAGTTTAAGTGCGTTGCCATTTCATACGCCTACAAGCTTTCGGTTGTGGAGTGAACCTGATTGGGAGCTGCTACGACGGTTGCTGATATACGCGTCACGATATAACTTCGTAGTTCCCGAAGAAGAACTTGATAACTAAATTGTTTTGTTTAAATAATACGTGATAGAGATGCGTCGGTACGTGTACAGATCTTGTGTATTTTGCAACAATACAACTTCAAAAATATTGGGTCTGAAGTAGGAGATCTCAAATACGGTACTACAGTACCGGTATGCATAATATGGATATTGGTCATTATATGCATAAAATGCAATATTATGGTATTGTAATACTGTTTTAATTTACTTCGAAGTATAATTCATAAGACCAATTCTTCGTAGATGGCGGTAACAACGGCTCGCACTTCGGCCACGGCACTGTCTCCCCCACGCGATGACACGGCTCTAAAAATCGACGATGGCGAATGTTTGCTTTCGTCCAATCACACAGTTGTTTCTCGCTCTTGCGGGGCCCCCAAAGGCGTTGTAGTCGACCCTGCCGTGCACCGCTTCCCCTATTGCATCGTGTGGTCTCCCATACCCGTTCTCACATGGTTCCTGCCCTTCATCGGGCACATGGGTCTCGCTGACAGTAAAGGGTGAGCTCATATCTGCATATATAATATAATTTATGCTTAACCTATGGTCTACTTTCGTTCAGGGTCATCTTCGACTTTGCGGGGCCTTACACTATTGGACGAGACGACTTCGCGTTTGGATCTGCCACGCGCTACTTACAATGCGCTGTAGCGCCCCAAGATGCCGACAAGTGGGATGAAGCAGTGACCGCGGGCTGCAAGATCTACGAGAAGAGAATGCACAACTTGTGCTGTGACAACTGCCACTCGCACGTGGCTGTGTGTCTGGAGCACGCCAACTACGCCGGCCGCAAGCGGTGGAACATGGTGGAGCTCTGCTTCTGGATGTTTTTCCGAGGCAAATATGTGAGCGTCGCCGGATTTATCAAGTCGTGGTTGCCGTTTGCATTCGTCCTCGCGCTGATTGCAATTATTCGAGTGACTGTGTGATAATGAAAGTAAATTAGCATGCAAACGTGTCAGATGTATCATGGTCAATGAGCCTCCTTGTTGCTCGGGCAGACGTCGATCGTCGTGCACTCAAGTTGAAGTGGACTCTACTATTGACGTGGCAGCTTGTTGATAGGATAAAACTCACTTATTTTCATCCAATCCGCAACACAATCCGTCTTTTTCTCTTCCATTCTACAAATTCAAACATGTCCGACGTTCTGCGGCTTCCGGATGCGTCTGTGTCTGGGTTGATATCTCACGACCCCGAGCCACGTGAAACCTCGGAATTAGTGGAACAGGTAGAGGAGACGCAGGTTCAGACAAGTGAAGACGAAAATGCGCCGGAGCAACGCAGATGGGGCTCCGAGACGTCCCACCAGAGCGAGGACGACGATGACGAAGGCTGGATGGTCACTCCGCTGATCGGGCGTCAAGACGTGCACATCAGCACCGAAGAGATGACTGAGGCGGACGAGGCTGATGTTGAGGCCAGTGTTCGAGAGGCCCTACGGCTTCTGGAAGACTCAACCGAGGACGCAGACGAAGAGGAGAGCGAGCGAGAGGGAGAGCAGTGGAAGGCCGAGAGGGCGGAAACAGTCTACCTGGACTTTGTGCACGAAGTGATGGAGGACAGATGGATGCTGGATGACAGAGACGAGCAGCATAATGAGCTCTGGAGGACGACCGAAGAGCAAGTAGACTCTGACGATGAGGACAATGAAGAGCGTAGTGTCCATGAAGACAACAAGGAGGATACTGAAAAAAGTATCGATTACGAGCAGGATAAAGAGCAGGAACATCAGGATGAGTGGCAGGAGGCCTACACAGCGAAAGGTCGAGTATACTACTACAACCGACGCACACGAGAGTCGTCTTGGAAAAAGTACGTTGGCGTGGCAATGATACGATGAAAAACAAAAACGTGAGCTGACGTGTGTTCCTGTTGCAGGCCGAGTCATTACAATTCGAGCTCGAACCAACCGCAGCCGTCTGCTGTAGATACGGGAGAAGAGTCGGAGCTGCATCACTCTGTGTTGCGTCAGAGTCTTGGCTATCATCCTTCAGCTTCGCCTTCAGCATCGCCAATGTCCAAGATAGAGCGACAGGCGACTTTGTACTGCAATTTCTGCGGCGAACAGCAGCCGGCAGACCAGCTAGCCACGCACTTTCAAGACTGCGCGTCCGTCAAGTTCCACAGGCGTCGCTTGTCTCCGCTGTATATGAGTTTTGAACGTGCTCTTGGAGCCATGTCTGAAGACTCCACACTACGCTCGCTGCATTACGCTTCGTCGTTCCCGGATCCTATACCTCATAGACGCCCAGAGGCGACGACGATGCAGGATAGTTTGGTATTGCTGCGTCCACGTCGTCGTCGTACTAGTAGAAGCTCCACGGAGAGTACACCGCAAAAGCCACGTACCACCCAAAGTAGAATCTTCGGTACAACAGAGAACGGGTTAAAGGTGTCGCCAACGAAGCAAGAGGTTCCAGATACGTCGCCGTCACGTCCAACTACTCAGACTGCGACTGCGAAACGGAAGAAGAAGAGTGTAGCCAAGAGAAAGAGCTCTCAGGCCCCGACTACTGCAATATCAGGAGGCTCAGTGCCGCAGAACATGGAGACGTGTCGCTACTGCAACCGGAGCTTTGCTGAAGGGCGACTGGCCAAGCATGAGGCGGTGTGTCCTCGTGTGTTTGGTAACGAAGGGTCTTGGGGACGGGGAACGCCATCAAGTCAGACTTCCCCGCTTCAGCCGAAAAGCACTGGCGCAGGAACACCCCCGAGTTCTGTTGGCTCCATAGCCTCCAAAATGCACAAGTTAAAGGACCACACACTGCAACAGAGCTACAAAGAGCACCAGGCCACGCTGGTGCTCTGTCCATGTTGTCGTCGCAAATTCGCTCCTTCAGGTGCTCAAGAGCATATAGCGATCTGTAAAGGGGTGCAGAATCGTCCGAAGAACCCCATCCCATTGCTACGTGACTATGCTATGGCTGGCTAGTAGAGGACTATGGTACGGACTGCTGTGTGGGGTTATTCATTGGATAAATGTATAGATCAATGCAGCATTGTGCTCTCCGTTTTTGACTGGGTCTTGTTCCCTCTAGGGTCGGAAGCCAGCGTACGCCTTCTCCAGGATCTCCTTCCGGATCTTCGGATAGTCCGGATACTGATCCAGAACCTTGTTGCACACGTCGACCGCGAGGACGAGCTTCTTGGCCTTAAGGTAGTTGAAGGCCAGCTTGAATCCGATCGCGGCGCTCGCTTCACCCTCGCACGTCCAGGCTTCTTGGTAGCATTCTGCTGCGTCGATGTACGACTGCTCCTTCTCCATCACCAGTCCAAGCAGCTCCCAGGCTTTCCCCGCCGACTTGTTGTGCGTGAGCGAACGCTTGCAGAGTTCCTGAGCCAAGTCGAATTTGCCTCGGTTGATGTAGATATCTGCCAGCAAGAGATAACTGCGCTCGAACTCGTCAGCGAGTGTTTGGTCGTACGTCATCTTGGCGATGCGCTTGAGTTGGTTGCGCGCTTTGGGCTGCTGCTTGATGAGCATGTAGCCTGTGGCCAGGCCAAGTAACGCTGGAACGTAGTCGCGGTCGACAGTCTCCAAGATCTCCATGAAGATCTGGATGGCCTTGTCCAACATACTCTTCGTGCGAACTGCCAGAACCGCGTAGGCTTCGAGCACCCGCAGTTTAGCGTCGCGTTCATTACGAGCAATAGGCAGCTCGTCTAACAGAGTGTTAGCGATCCGCAAGTTCTCCGTCTGCTCCTTCGTGTTGCCGTCCGTGGCGTCGTTGGCAGAGTCCCAGAGGTTTTCGTTGTCTGGGTTCAGGTAGATCTCGATCATGTTGATGAGCGCTCTTTCGCCCCATTCCGGATCACGTCGAGCCAAGTTGAACTCGTCGATGGCTTCCACCACGTTGTTACGGTAGCGAGCATACAGACCTTTGCAGAAGTGAAGGCCAGGAGCATGCGCGACACGAACGTTGGCACTGCGTTCTGCTAGACGTAGATACCGTTGAGCCAAACTCCCCTGCTCCTTGTCAGTCGAAGACGTGTGGAGTTTACCTGCTCGACGCAGCATGACGAGGAATCGACTGAGCGCTGCGAAGTTGTCGGGACGACTGTCCAGAAGCTGCTGGAAGTGGTAGATGGCGGAGTCGTTGTCTTCCTTCTGGAGTAACAAGTCGGCCAACATCAAGGCCGCCTCTTCGTGTGCTGGATTGAGTCGAAGCAGCGTGGAACAGCGCACTTGGCATTGATCCAGGTCGCCGATCTGCTGATACGCACGCGCCAGATACAGCAGCGAGGACTCGTGCGTTTCGTCCGAACGAAGAGCCAACGTGCAGTACTTGACGACGTTCTCACGCTCATTGGTGCCTGACGCGGACGCGTAGATGTTCGCAATCTGGAAACACGTACTGGCAATAACAGCTCGCTGTTTGTTGAGCACGTCGGGTTGTTCGTCCTTCTGGCGGTCCAGAATCACCTTCTGGATGGCGTAGGCCTTCAACAACGCCTGTACTGCCATTTCGTCGCTGCCCAATCCGCGGTGAATTGATGGCAGGACTAGTTGGAGCTCTACGACTTGAAGCAGGTGACTCAAAGCCTCGGAGTCGTTCGGTGGTGCTTGCTGGACGACACGCAGAGCTTGATCAAAGTGACGGAGTTTGGCGTACAACTCAGCAAGATCTTTGCGCAGCACCAGGTTCCCCGGCGCCATCTTGAGCGCTGTCTCGTAGTAGTCGACGGCTTTGAGATAGTCATGCTTGGAGATGAGCACGCGTCCGATCCGGCCCGCGATCGTGGGGTCTCCTGGGCTTAGTGCCTTGGCACGTTCGAAGGACTGCACCGCTTCGTCCAGCATTTGAATGCGTAAGTAGGCCTCAGCCAAACTCACGTGTGTTGCGTGGCAAGGATTGATCGCCACGAGCTCCTGGTAGCAGCGTGCGTACAGATGTTTGTCCTTGCGATACTGCAGATAGATGTCGGCTTTGACCATTTGCGCCTTAGTGAACGCCGGAGAGCCCACGGGAACGCTGCTGAGCATGGCGATAGCTGCGTCGTAGTCGCCACGTTTGATGGCCAGCTCACTATTGGCTACAAGTACGCGGACTTCTTCTGAGGTGCCTCGGAAGACGTCGAGGGCCTCGCGCACTGTCTTCGTGGCCTCAACGATGTCGTTGAGCTGTGAGAGTACCTGCGCCATGTGGATGTACACCGAGGCCTTGTCGAAAAGCGAAGCGTTGCCATTATTCTCCGCAGCGTGTTTCTGACGACGGCTACTGCTTCCAGAACTTCCAGCGCTTTGGATCATGTTCATCGCGGTCTGCAGCGTCTGAAGCGCTTCACGCACATCGCCCGCGTTCTCGAGAATACGCGCCTTAATGATGTAGTACGAGAGCGATTGACGCACCGAGAAGTCGTAGCTGAGAGCCTGATCCAGAGAGGCCGAAGCTGCTTTGAAGTGTTCACGTTCTAGACTCACTCGAGCATGCATGAGATGCGCCTTGGAGTGTCCAGGCTCCTTTTTCAGGATTAAATTTGATACCTGATAAGCTTCATCCAGTCGCTGACAACCAAAGTAAGCCTGTGCGAGCACGAACTGGGCTCGTAAAAAGCCCGGTGACTTGTTGACGAGCTTCTCGAGGATGCTTATGCCTTTAGTAACTGCATCCGATGAGCTGTCATTGGAACTGCCTTGCTTCGACGTGTCCCCTTGGACGAATTCCGTGGCCACTTCCACGAGGAACAGGGGGTTAAGAAGACTCATCGTGTCGTGCGTGGAGACGTCAGGTCCTTGGATGGTCTCCTTGAGCCTGTCCATGTGAATCTGCATGGTCTGTTGCAGAAGCTTGACCTGTCTAACTCGATCTCGGTCCTTCTCCCAGCTGAGCAATGCCTGGAGGAATGCAAAGTTGGCACTGGCACCAAGAGATTCCTGGATGACGCAAAGGAATTCCATTTGCTGCGAGGCGTCTTCAAGCTGTCCCAGTTTGATCTGGCAGTAGATCATCCCGTGCAGTGCCATCTCGTTGGACTCGTCCAGCTTCAAGGCTTCTTTGTACGACTCCATGGCTTCTGCAAAGTCGCCTAGTAGTGCGCGTTGGTAGCCACGCTCGGCACGGAAAGCTCCACTCTCAGCGTTTAGTTGGATGGCGTGTTCTATCAGTCCCAAGCTGCACTGTAAGACCTCCGCGTCTCGATCAGATACACGAGCAGTACAGCGAGAGATCTCACAGAAGAGCTCTGGGTTGGCTGGTTCTACTCGTTTAAGAGCTTCCAGCAATTCTCGGATACGCTCGGCAGCCTCACGGGCGCGGCCTTCACGAGACAACAGCAGCAGGATCATGATACGCAGCGCCTCAATATCATGAGCATTCTCACTTAATACTCGCTCTACACTGTCCATACATTGGTCCCAGCTGCCCATTTTAAGCAAGACCAAGGCCTTTTCACTCAACGAGTGTTTGAACCATGGAAACTGCACCGTAAGTTCGTCGTAAGACTCAAGAGCGCGCGGATACGCCTTCTTCACGTCAAAGTACTTGGCCATACCCAACACCAACTCGGCATCTTTTCGGCTAATGTAAAACATTGACAGTTAGTAGAGACAATTTGGAACGGATAGCAGCTAACCCACGTACTCTGTCACTTGGTCAAAGTATCGGATAGCTCCGTCTCGTAAGTCGGCTTCGCGTTTGATCTTGGCATCCACGGTGAGATCCACCCACCCACGCAGGATCAGAGCTCGCTGACGGAGTGCTCCATCGGAGCTGCTTTTACCGTTGGTACTCAGAATTTGATCGATTATCTTGCGAGCTTTTGCATGTTCGTTTAAGTGCCAGAAGAACGTGGCGCAGAGCATCAAACTCGCGCTAGACGCGTTCTCCTCGGCCATGACGAGCTGCAGTTCCAGCTGCGCCACTTCGTCGTGATCGACGTGTTTGCACTGCGAGTGGGCGTACACCAACGCGTGAAGACATGGAAGCTCCACGTCACGTCCCGTTCTTTTGAGGTTCTCGAGCTCTCGAATGGCAGACGAATAGCTGCGCTCCAATACGATGCCAAAGGCGCGCCAGAACAGGATGTCCGAGTCGCTGCCTTTCTTCTCGAGGATCTGCTCACATAGGCGCTGCACATGGTCGTACCAGCCTTTGCGAAGGTAATAATTGATCAATACGCGAGGGTCCATGGAGCTATTCATCGTGAGTGATGCAGCAGTCGAGTTTGAGCGGACGCCTCTTGAAGATCTACTAACGTTGAAGCTGTCAGCCAATCACTGTGCTTTAATTTTTTATGGTGTGGCAGCTAAGTGCTTAAACTTTAAGTTACAGTGGAAGATGGTGCTGTCATCCAGGTGACGGCTCACCAAGATGGTAGTTCGGTTGGAGGCGGGTGTCTTGTATCTGGAAGGCCAACACACCACCAGGCTTCAAAACGAGATTACCCTCGACACTTTCTCCTTTTGCTTATCAGCGCGGAGGGCAGCATCGGGGAAGTTGAGATCTACTGAACGTCCCGGGTTGTACGAACCCTCGCCGTTTGCGAACTGCTGCGTGGTGTGTGCTCTCGCTGCGCGGCTTCCAACATCGACTCGGCCGAGTCGACGAATACAAGTATCACGTATGCACCGTAACCTAAATGAAATTGGTCGTGCAGTAAAGTAAAACACTGTACAGGAAAGCGTTTTCAGTTCCTGCCCCCAGGTTGACAATTGTTACCACTTTTCTATCAGCGTCTGCGATTGGCACCATTTTAATGCGGTCATTACACCGATCGCGAATGAGGAAATCGTGGTATATAAATTCAGTATACCGATACCGTTTTGACATGATGATTCATGGCCCGGGATACCCAGGATCCATGATATACCGTATCTCATACATGAGCTTCGGCCATGGACTTTCCAAAGGGCCGCAAAGGACTTCGCCATTCAACTTGAATTTCAAGCGTGTTGTTTGCGTAACTAGGCTTGCCCATGTAATCTGATCACTTCGTGAACATTCAGTGAAAGCCCTTGATAAGTGGCCTGTCATTCCCGAATCCACCAAGCAGAGACGCAATGATGTCGGCCAACACCGTGTACCGCATCAACGACCGCACCTCGCACCACAACCTAACCTGTCTAACAGAGGTCCTACCAACTGTCCACGACCATGAAGTACTCGTCGAGATTCATGGGGTCACGCTCAACGCACGTGATATCCAAATCTGCGGAGGGTTTTATCCTGCAGCAGCGGTTAAGGACAACCTCATTCCCTGCTCGGATGGAGCAGGTGTCGTCGCTGGCGTTGGAGGTGCAGTCGACGATATTCACGTCAGCGACCGCGTCATTATCAATATTTCCTTCGGCAATCTGTACGGCCCTTTAAAGAGCCCAGCTTACATGCTTGGTGGAGGGATTGACGGCACGTTCCGCCAATTCGCTGCAGTCCCGGCTCAAGCAATCATCAAGGTCCCTTCCGAGTGCAAATTAGACTTCGTTCAGCTTGCGTCGCTGGTCTGCACTGGCGCTACTGTGTGGAACGCACTCTACGGCTACGTGCCGATGAAACCCGGTCAAACCGTGCTCTTCCAAGGTATACATAAGCTGTTTTAAAAGACTACGTACAGCCACACTAACGTTTCATATTGTAAGGTACTGGCGGAGTGTCTATCACGGGTGTTCAATTTGCCAAGGCTGCTGGGGCTGTGACGATTGTCACGTCCTCGTCGGATGAAAAACTGAAGTTTGTAGCGGAGAAATTTGGTGTGGATCACGTGATCAACTACCGCACGACGCCGAATTGGGAGGAAGAAGTGCGCCGCTTCACCAACGGAGAGGGCGTCGACTATGTCATCGAGATCGGTGGTGCTGGCACGATTGAACAGAGCATCAAAGCTACGGCATCTGGCGGAATGATCGCCATCATCGGGTATCTGGCAGATATTAAGCAGGAGGATATGCCCAATGTCCCTCTTCTCGCGTTGATCCAAGGCTGCGCTCTCCGGGGTGTACAGGCTGGTAGTAAACAGCTAACCTCCGAATTGGTCACGTTCGTGACACGTAAAAATGTCCAGCCCTACATCCACGAGACATTGGGCTCTCCCAGGACGAAGTGATTGCTGCGTTTGAACTGCAGAACTCGGGCAAGCACATCGGAAAAGTTGGCATTGCAGTGAAAAAGTAAAATTGAAGAACGCTACTTTGAAAGATGAAAAATGGCTCTATCTCAGACTGCCTTCGTATTTTGCCCTGTCCTCGACAATTTGAGCCCACCCAAAACATGCACTTTCATTTCTGGGCAGGTCCAACTGGGATCATTTTTCCTTCTTAAAGACCCCGAACCAACGCGTTCACTTGTCCAAAACGTAACTCATCAATAGCGAAATCTTCATTTTTGTCTGGTCGTGCTTTTTTAATCATGCTTGTCAGCTCGTGCCAACTGGACAAAAATCACTTCCCCGGCTTCCAAATAAAAAACAACGCATCGTAGCTTACCTTTAATCGCGACAAAATCGTGTTTCCCCTTTTTGTGGTTGAAGCGGTACCCGAATATGATCTAAACAATTTTTAAAGCTGCCATCCTAACAGAACGTGCGACGTCGACTTTACGGGTAGGAACGAGTGATATCCCGAAATTGCGAACATGAGATAAGTAGATATAATTAACATGTAAATTGAAATGCCGTGAAAGAATAAAGAAATTAACCGCGCTCTCATTCAGTGATTGAGCGGAATTGACTAGTTTACTTGTCATTCAAATGCTGACTATCCATCCATAACCAGTCACCGAAATGACGCCTCTCCTTTCTCGGATTCAGTTCCGATTTTTCCTTGTACGCCCAACTCCAATTTCGTCGACCATGCTAACATACGCTCTATCGCAATCTCGCACTAAAGTGGCGATGTCGCGTCCGCGCAAGCCGCTTCGTCCGTACTCCCCACCGAACTCCCCGCCCGACGTCGTCATTACCATCGAGGGTGGGGGCGAACACGAGCAAAATGATGGAATTGATTTCACCCGCTTGCGAGCTGAGCTGAATCGCCTTCTGGAGGAAGATCTACAAGAATCCGACGACGACGGATTGGGCGATGAAGGCCAAGACTCCAACACTATCAAAGTGTACCACCAAGCTGACCGCACAAACGACGTCTATTGCTCTGAGCGACTGAGCCGTACGCTGTGACCAGATCCTAATCCAAGACCCTTTTATCGCTTACTTTTTAAAATTTAGGAAATCGATTTTTTTTAATGGTTCGTGTTTACCATTATTGGATACTCAAACCACCTCCTACTTCAAACAAGTTAGCACTATCCACTTGATCGTTTCAGTCTCCTAGGAGGTCGCCCACATCTGCATCCCCCCAATCATCCGTGTCTGCAACAAAACAATTAAAAAAAAGTTAGATTATAAAACAAAAAAAACTTTCACCACATACCTTCGTGTTTGCTGGGTCGTTTCTGCGGCTGCGGTGCTCTTGCCGTCGTGGGGGCTACGGTTTGCATTGAAGGCGGCGCGATGATCTCATTCCTGTTGTCTTCACTGTCACGAGTTCGGGACTCCGGTGTACTGCTCCCATTTCCATAAACAGAAGGCGAAGCGCCTCGACCGCTCTCTTGTCGCTGTATTTGTTGCGGTAGTCTTTGGTAGGATTGAGATCTTGAATCGCCGTTATCATCGCCATTAGAGTTCCGTGAGTGGCCGTTGCCTACAGATGGAGCTTGCTGTTGAGGTGGCATCTGATTGTTGACGGCATTGTCACGTTCCAGTTTGGCCAATTTTGCCTGAAACCCGTCACATCGTTGGCCTAGATCCTTGCAAATAGCCACGAGATATCTCAAACACTCGAGGTTCTCCGGGTAATCTTGATGGATCTGTTCGTACAGCAGCATGGCTTTCTGATAAGCACCCATACGTCGATAACAACTCGTGACCATAAGCCTCCACTTGACTTCATTCGGCTGGATCTGACTGGCTCGTTCGAAGAACTGGATGGCCTTTTCATACAATTCACTCTTGACGTACCATACCCCAAGCCAAGAAATGACATCCAAGTTGATAGGAAAGTACCGGTACGACTCGAGATGGTAGTGGAACGCTTGGGTCTCGTCGTCGTCCTTATTGAAGATTTGACCCAGACGAGCGAGCACTCCAGGATCGGCCACGTTCTTAGTGTTCCGCTCTCGTTTATCGTTACTACCGAAGCATGAGAGGAGGATATTAAACCACTTGGCGGCTTGTCGGTAGTTGCCCATAACATCATGAAGATTCGCAATCTGGTACAGTACTTCCGCGTTCGTGGGGACGATACTGTGCAGCTTCTCGAACGCCTGAAGTGCCTCGTTTAATACCCCCATCTTGATATTCACTAAGCCAAGATTGTAGATAGCTTCTATACAGTCCGCTTCCACGCCGATAGCCTCGAGAAAGAGCTCCTTGGCTCGCTCGCACTCGTTTTTAACGTACAGACAGTTGCCTTTGTTCACCAAGGCCTTGGCGTTGTATCGTTGGTGTCGCACCGCGAGCGACGCGTATTTGTCGGCTTGAGTAGTGTCACCTTCTACAAAGTAAAGGTAACTGAGGTTGGTAGCGGCCATGGCTTTGTGTGCTGGGTCTTTCTTCTCGAACGCCTTGAGCACTTCAATCGCCTTGTCAAACTCTTTTTCTTTCAGGAACCAATGCGCTTTACAGATCTCCATTTCGCTCGCTAAACTCTCGTGGTTCTCCTGCTTTAACGCGTCAATAACCCACGTGAAACCCGCTAGCCAGTCCTTCTTATCCAGCGCCGGAGCACACAACTTAGCAGCCACTAAAATATACTCCATGGCTTTCTTCCTCCTCGCTCGGATCTCTGCTTTCAGACCGTCGGTCTTGAGTGAATGAAGGTGATCTTTAGACGACGTGTGGGCGTCATCATCGTGTTTTGACTCGTTAGCCAGTCCGGACTCGTCTTCGTCTTCCTCGGACATTCCTTCCATCGGAGTCGTGATAAGGTTCGTGAATCCTCGTCGCATCTTTTCGTGCTCTCCAATCGCGTAGTAGCAAATGATGAGGTTAAACCCGGACTGGAAGTCTGCGTTGCCTTCCATGATATCTTCGAACGTGGCTGCTGCGTCCTGGTAATGTCCGAGTTTGATCTGCGCTGCGCCAATGTTCCGCTTGATCTTGTAGCGCACTTCCTTACTGGTGTTCGGAATCTGATCCAAAGCCATGCGATACATTCGGATCGCTGTGGGAAACTGCTGTTGTTCGAAGTAAATGTTGCCCATATTCACTCTCAATCGACCGCCCTGTGCGTACTGTTTGTTCTTGACGATCGGTGTATACGATTGGATGGCTTCTTTCCAAAGTCCATTGAGATGATACGCGTTCGCGAGATTGAAAAACACGGCGTAAGTCAGGTCGATGTTGAGCAAATCTGCCAATCCGTTGAGCTCGCAGTGCTTGTTGAACGCTCGTTCCTTACGTCCGGCATCTTTGGCGGAATGTAGCGCTTCTTCGTGCTGTTCCTTGGCAATCAACTCGGCCGATTGCTCAATTAGCGCGTTCACGGTCCGTTCCAGTTCTTTTGCCACTTCTTTTGGTGAATTTTCAGTTTTCTCCACTAAAGCAGGAGCGGCACCAGCTTTTCGAGATTCTCCCATGGGGTCAAACATCCTCTGACCCCCAGCAGTACGTGGATTTGACTACAATTTAAAAAAAAATGTTTAGTGTTGGATATTCCAATATTTGTCAAGCATTTTATCATACCGAGAATCCTGCTCCAGACACGGAAGTCATAGGGCGTGCGTCACTCGACTGTTGTGCTGTTCCCATCCGTGAGCCTGGAATCGGTCTTCCCATTTGTGACGGTGGTGCTCTTCAATATCAGATAACGTGTCAGATTTTTGTTTAACATTTTGAAGGTTTGCATCATACCTAAAGGCCGTTCCTGGTGGATTGTAGCCCCCTCTCGAAGCTGGAGCGCCATAGGACGACGACATGTAGTTGGTGGTGGCTGCCGTCTGTGGAGGCGCGAGGTCGATGCTGAAGTTGAAGCCTTCGTACAGATCTTCATCGTCCTCTTCCTCGACCAAGAGTCCATGTCTGGCCTGGCCGTAGCCACCTCCATATCCTGCCATTCTATGACAATGCTTTCGATCAGTCTAGTGGCCGCAAAAATGGGATCGCGGGCGTTGAAGCAGTTATGACGAGTCGTCGCCGAAAGGACATCACAAGTCGAAAAACCAATGGAAGATACAAGGATAGATTTATTCTTTTTTATTACTGCAGCTCAAAGTCATCTCCGACGAGGACGAGAGTCAAAATCGTTGCTACGATCAAAAGCATGAACGTAATACTGGGAATCCGAACTGCGCCTGCGAAAGGGATCCGGAAAGAACAGTCCTCCCCCATTAACGGGAAGTACTCTCGTGTGTTGTTATACGGCTCGTAGACCATGGCACAGTAGCAGCTGCCGTTTACACACTCGCCGTTCGGATACGAGCAATTGTTTAGACACATTTCTGTTGCAAAAAAATATTAGCAAATTTGACTAATTACAATATGAAATAGAAGCAAACTTACGTGTATCGCAATATTTGCCGTACCATCCTTCGTCACACATACATCTTGAGTTCGGGAACTCCACGGAGCAGTAGCCATGTCCTGAGCAATTGTAGCCACAATTTCGAATAGAGCAATCGTCTCCAATAAATGGGGGCTTACAGATACATTTACCAAAGCCGTCGCAAACTCCATTGGAATAGTGCACATTGTCGGCTGTGCATGGGAATTTCTGTACATTCTCCACGTACGAGTCGTTGTCTGTGTGCTCGAAGCCCGAGAAACAGCAATGGTTGCAAATCTGCGTCTGTTGCGCGTCGTTATAAGCACAAAACGATCCAGGACACGTTGAATTCGAGCAATCTTCGCCGTAGTATCCGTCGTCGCAACGGCAATTTCCAGCTAAACAGGCGCCGTGCAAGGAGCAGTTCTTGATGCAGTTATTGAGGTCATATTGCCATAAATCCCTTAGAGAAGCAGCCGCGAAAGTTACCGCGTCGTGATACTTTTCTTCGCGCTCATACCCGTACCCACCGAAGACGAAGATCTTGTCGAATCCCTCGTGGTATACACTCCTGTGACCTGAGCGTTGGGACGGATGTTCCCATTGAAGCGCTGCTGGTAGATCTTCTCGTCCATCGTGACGATTCCTACATCCATCCCACCCGGGAGCTTGACGTCGTGCTTGCTTAATGGAGACACTTGGCTGGCTTGAGCCTCGACTGGGCTCGGCAAATACGGAAAACTACCGACAAGTACAAGTAAGTAGACATCGTGAGTAAATCTAGAAATTGACATCCACCTACCGTCTTCGTGCCGTAGTGAGTTTCTGCGATAAAGTAATAGTCGTCTGGGTTGTCAGCCAAGTTGGAAGGCGGGACATAAGCGGCGTAATTCCCACTATGTGGCAGTCGTCGAGCGTGTAAATCATCGGTACATGATGCAGGGTAGAGGGGGTACACAAACGCATGTTGCTTGACCCAGCGGTTTGCACCTGACACAGCAAACACCACAAGTGAGTCAATTGCTAGAGATATTCATACAACAAACCAAACTTTTTGCGCACTAGCGTTATACTGCCAAGTGTCGTCGTAGTAATAGTTGGTGAGATATCCCCCGAACAATAAGAAGACGTCGTTAGCTGCGACCAGAGTATGGTCAACTCTGGGTTCTGGAACGGAGTCGCTGTCTGCTACCACGCGAGACCAGATTCCCGTAGTAATGTTATATTTCCACATGTCGTTCAAGTAATACGGATGTGTCGGGTACGGCGTGAATCCAACTGCACGAACGCCAAGCGTTCCTCGTCCTGCACCCGCGCTGGAGGTCGTGGGATACGGGAAAAACGTACGATATCCTCCGTGAATAAATATGGCGTTGTCAAACACCACCGCAGTGTGACCTGCTCGAGCTGGAGGCCACGACACGACGCACTCGACTTCAATATTGTGAAGTAGGGCGTTTGCAAGAAGCGTATAGTCGGTGGGACACTCGACTTTCTCGGTGATATTCGTCCAGGAATTAGTGACCTTGTCGTAGACCCACAGATCGTTGAGATAGCCTCCAAGTGGGTACTGGTGCACTCCACCCCAGTCGTTTTCCTCACTGTTTTCGTGCCCAAACCCATGCCAGAGCCGAAATCCTCCAAAGACGTACATTTTGTCGTTCAATACAATGCTGGAAAACTTGAATCTCTTCCCCGGACCAACTCGACTGCTTCCTAACTCGATCAGTTCGGTCCAAGAGCCATCAGAGAAGTCATAGAGCCACAGATCGTCGCAGTAATCACCGCACATGGGACCGAATCCTCCGTAAACTGCCATCGTATTGTCACTAAACACTTGTGCACTATGCATCCACCGTTCAGACGGATGGGTACATACTGATGCACCTAAAACCTTCTTACATCCCCCCCACTCTGCGCCTTTATCCAAAACCTCCCACGAGGTTTTCAAACATCCGTTGTCGGCATACCTGGTGCAGTCTATCAGCATAAAAAATTAATGAATGAATGCGATTGTTGTATTCAGATTTTCATTGCGTTCTTACTTATGTTGTAGCTCCAGATGTCATTAAAGAAAACTGCAACGGGGACCACAGTCGAGTCCGTCTCGTAAGCGACTTTGTCCTCGTACGATAAGAACTCGAGGGATCCATTGACTCGAGTGATCTCGTAGGTTTTGGGCACGTGAGTCTTGGTGGTATCTTCTGTTCGACCTCCGAAGACAATCAACTGGTTGCCGTACGCCACAAACGAATGTCCTCGTCTTGCTGTGGGGCTCGAGGTGTTGACGCTCCAAGTCCATTGATGCCAGCAGGATCCAATTTGTAGACAAGAAGAGAGACAAACGAGAACCAGTAGCAAGCGCATTGACAAAATTGTATCTACGACGTTTCGCCCAAAAGATCGGAAAAGTCACAATCAGTTTACAGGGGTTTTGAGATTGTGGAGAAGCTAATGCCTGTTTACTTAACTTTAATTATCTTCATTGCTGCAATACTGATATTAAGAGCACAATCGGAGTTGTTTCCGTCGAAGAGTTTTAGACGCTGAGACCACCCGCGATGAGTGCTTTGTTCGTAGCGACGTCCTTCGCCTGTCAGAACAAAGCGGCATCAAATACGAACCGGTGGTGAAATTTAATGTCATCACCTCGTCGGGTAAGCTGTGTCTCGGTGAATCACTACAGTACGTGTACAAGTGATCAACAAGCTGTCGATCGTTGCTGAACAAAGTGGACAGCTTGCAAATCAAGGTGGTTGAATGGGTACATGGCTCGGTCCAGAATAAAGACCGAGCTGAACTCAGCTCCGTTCTTCTGTAAATGTAGTAGAATCAGTGTAGAACCATAGATCTAGGATGTAGAACTTCTACGTCGATCAATGATTTTTACGTCGATCAATGATTTTCACGTCGATCACTGATTTTTTTAATCCACGATCCGACCTCCGTCGGCGCAGTTAAATTATAAAACGTGGTGTCAACGATACAGTATGGGTTGTTTAAATTCTAGTTTGCTGGAATTACATATTATACGCTACTGCAGCAGCATGTCTGTACTCCACTGCCTTAAAAACTCCCTCTCCTGTGTCATTCGTATGTCGTCTTCTTCCTCGTCGTCCGTGGGCATCATGTCGTCGTCGATTAGCTCCTGTAAATACGGGTGCTTGTTCGTCAGCGCGGCCATATCCCAGTGTCCACGTCTTGCCAAATACTCGACAAAGCCCATTTTGCCCATACAGTCACTCTTACAGTTAGCTACCAACCACTTTGCCACACGTTCATGGCCTAAATTGACGGCGTTCACCACGGCCGACTGCGAACAGCCTTCGTCTCTGTATACGTGAAGCCACTGAATCACGTCCAAGTGGCCGTTCGTCGCTGCATTATCGATCGCGTAATGTGTTGCGCCCTCCTTCCTGTTAAAATGCAGCCACTGCACCACCTTCAAGTGACCATGTTGTGCCGCAAAGTCAATGGCGTTTGTGGTGCATCCCTCGCTCCTGTTCTTGTGAAGCCACTGCACAATCTCCAAATGTCCGTTAGAGGCGGCCATGTCCATAGCGTCCGTGGTGCAGCCTTCTTTACGGTTCTCATGCAGCCATTTCACGACGGCCAAGTGGCCGAACTCGGCGGCCGAGTCCATGGACTCCTTGCAGCAGCGCTGAAACTTTTTGGGGTTGCGCCGACTCAGTCGTTGCACTAAATGCAAGTGGCCCGCCAGTGCCGCGCGCATCAAATTCCACGTGGGTGACAGATCCAGGAACGCGTTCACGTTTTCCAGCACGAGGTCGTTGGCGGCGTCGAAGCGATCACACACGGCAACGACGGCTGGCGAGATGTCCATAGCTGTGGTGGCAGTTGATGCTAGTGGGCCGGAGGTCTCAGATCGAGAAATGAGCGCTGCCCAGCGGGCCGCGGGGTAGTAGTTACCCGCGAACCGTCATGGTTTCTATCGACCGCGCAGTTACTTACGCCCCATCCAAAAAATGGCTGCTTCGATGAAAAATCACGGCTGTTTTGTGGTTCTCCTTTGCAATTATTTTGGGGTCAAGTTCCTATGTATTTCAATATCCGCCCTAAAAGGATAGGTAGAAAGCAAAGAGCGAATAATTTGACCTGTCAAATATAGAATTATCGATTTACTGCTTGCGTTGCAGTTGGCTGTTGCCAAAGCGCTACAGAAATCTGCCTGAATAAGGAACGCCTGATATAAATTAAGAAAGAGATTGCATAAGCTGACAATGCCTCGCTAAAAAAAAGACTATGATATCGGATCATATGCATGTATTGAATAAGTTCGGATAAATTGAGAATTCGACTTTTAAATGAGACCAGCAGTGCTGAATCGTAAGAGCGCTAACTTTAGACCATGGAGCCTCGCACCAGAGCAGTGCAGTTAGCTGGTCGACGTTGTACGGGTTGTCGAGGCCTTCGCCTAGGCGATCCAATGCGAACATCATTTTTGCGATAAGATGAAGCGTTGAATGCTATTGATGATCCCCTGATCCAGCGGCTGGATCTTGGCGGTGGTGTTCGGGGGTAGCTTCTCAACACGGACATTGCTTAGTGGACGCAGTCGGCTAGTAAGCTTGAATGTAAAATGAAGCTCGGCTCGTAGGGCTTGAAGCGAAGGAGGATCAAGTGATGGGCAAGGTACTGACAAATCCAGGCACTGACTTTGATTTCAATTTAAAAAATGGCGCGCAGTAGGATCCCATCTCCCTAAATCTTTCCCGACTATAAAAATTGCGAGGTTATTAATTGAAACCCCGTTCCTTATTCAGGCAGATTTCTGTATTATCTTCGTTGCACCGAAGAGACACTTTTCGTGGGGCTGCTCTTGCTTGATGAAAGTAAAGGACTCAAGCACCGCTGCCCAGACATGGGACTTCCTGCCTGACGTGGCCTTCGACGCACTCGTAGCCCAGATATTGTGCGTGCCATAAATCCATTTGGCCACTTGTGGCCACATCCTTTTAGTGAGTGGGTGGGAATTATACGTGTAATTAGTGACTCACCAATGTCATGTATCATTCCCACCCACTTAGTGTCGTGCAGCGCAGAGAAGACGGTTCCACGCTCCTAGACGTCGTAGCTGACTGGAAGCACTCAGAACAGGTAGTTCGCAACTTACTGGAAGCCGGTGTGCCCCCGGATGTCTGCGTAAATGAAAATAATCGAAAGCATCTTCCCTCACAAAACTAAAACATAGGACGATTCCGGGATGACTCCTTTACTGGAGGCGGCGCAGGAGGGGTCATTTGCAGTCCGTCAAGCCTTACTCGAGGCTGGGGTCACCCTCGTGTGGAGGTGACGCCACAACATGCCTCAGTCGAAGTTGGGAACGAAGAAAAAGGTGCGGAGGCTTCTACGACAGCCCACGACGCGGCCTAGACGATATGACGGAGACGTTTTTGCTTGTCTACTGGATAAACCATACATTCTACTTGGATGCATTTGCTACGGCTCTAAATCATTCGTATGGGGATATAGTAGTACGGGTACAAGTAATTTATAGTGAACCCATCGTTCCAGTGAGTGAAACGGCACTTGGATTGGTGGCCGAGAGCTCTGCTGCACGTACAATAGCATCACGTTGTTGTTTGATAAGATTAAGTCTACATGCAAAGTGGCATCGTTTAGCTCGAGCGAGGCAAACTGGCAGCATTCACAGATTATTTTTATTTATTTTTCGCCAGTGTGATATAAAGTCAAACACTGACGACTACTTTGCGCTTTATTTTTTTTCGTGGTTAGTGAGTTTGTTCCTGTTGCTTGTGGAGCGAATATTGAGATGATGGTGTTCGCGTCGTTCTGGGACTGTATCGAAGTCGCAACGTATGTTCTGCTCCATTCCAGTAAATTTGTGAGTTGACATACTGTGTGCTTTTGGATCAGCTTGTTGCAGCTCCTACAGTACAAAAGTCCGGAGGCAGTGGACTGATGGTCGCGATGAAAAAAAATTCTCCAGCGATACGAAGCCCCAAAAATATCTAATGAGCAAGGGACGAAATGCAGCAGCAACTAGCTCTAGTGCAACTACAGCAGCAGTTTGCAGATCTCCGAGCTTAAGTCGAGCAACTCACTGCTGTGATATCAACCCCCCAAGCTGCCAAAAGAATCCGAGGACCACCGATACCAAAGTATTGACATGACGATTTATAATTACGCGGTATGTCTACAAGGTCTGCTCTCACGTCTACTTTTACTTGTGTTCCGGTGGTCGCACCATTTGCTGCAGCATGTCCTTCGCATAGCGCAAGCGTTTGGCCAGATCGGGTCGCTCCGACGTGAGGATTGCCATTGATGACGAGAAGACGGTCAAGTCGCCCTCACGGTTCAGATACGTGGCAACGCGGGCGTTGGAGGATAACATAAGCTTCGACTTGTCGAAGAAATTGAACTGAATCGTCCCGTTCGAGAGCTGGAACAGCACCGCATGACGAGTCTTGACCCACTTCTTAACGAACACCATCGACTGGCTCGCTCCGTCGTCACTACTAGTGTCCGTGTTAACCTCTCGAGACGAGAGCACGAACGAGCGAGCGAGTTGACTTTCTAGAGTATCCGCCTCGTCATTCTCCGCTCGGGCGTCCACTAAATAGCCTTTAAAGTGGCCAAGAAGAGTCACCTTCTTGCTGAGTACCGGGTCATAGTTCTCCACCGTGTAGCGAGCGTGCGCTTCTGGTCCTGAAGTCTGGCTGCTCTGACGCTCAATGTACTCGAAAACTTTCCCATCAGCTGACGAGATCATCTTGGTGGAATCGTTAAAGTACACTCCCGATCCGCCATTCGAGAGCATGTAGCCGATGCCGTACTTGGTCGTGTAGTCGACCCATTGAGAGATCCACAGACTGGCAGCAACAAGCGGCTGCATCTCCGCAGCCTCGTCGCGAATCTGTTTTAGCTTTTGAGCTTCGGCGACGATACTCGCAGCAGAAGACGACGCGCTCAATCTCCCGTCGCGACTGTGTTCTTGAAGGTAAAAGAACCGAGACAACGACTTGTACGCGGCTTCCAGGACGGTCTGTGACGTCTCCACTGCTGTCGATCTCTCTGTCCTTCGATTGGAACTAGAACTGCCTGATGTTCTTCCAGAGCCGTCACGTTTATATGCAGGGGGTAGAGATTGTGCCAACGCAGGTGATGTGCCCGGGTCAGAAGCTCGTTGGTTGTCGTCTCGCGTCTTCAGAGGATACCTCTTTGAGGCTGCCCGTGGCGGCGGGACTTTTACTCCAGTTGACCTCACAAAGCGCTCGCTGTCACTGTGTCGACTAGCGAACGACGGAGGTTTACACGATGGTGGAGTGACCATTAACGCGGTCCTAGGCAGCGCCGTGGGCACGAACTCGTCGGCCAAGAACGGGTGCTTTAAAATCTGCTCTAACGATGGTCGTGCGCCTGGATCGCTGCGTAAGATACCGCGGATAAGCGACTGGGCCGAGCGAGAAACGTGGACCGTGTCAGGAAACTCGTACTGGTTCGCACGGATGCGCTTGTACGTGGCTTTGACGTCATCTGTCTCGAAAGGAGGTCGGCCGACCAATAAAGTGTACATAACCACACCCGTGGACCAAATATCGACTTCAAAGCTGTGTCCGTCGCCACGCTGTCCACTCAAAATTTCAGGCGCGATATAGTTGGGTGTGCCGCACATTGTGCGCTTGCGGTCTTCTGGATTATCCAGCCTGGTGGCGAGTCCAAAATCTCCGATTTTCAGTCGCATATCCGACGTGAGGAACAGATTTCCTAGCTTCAGGTCGCGGTGGATCACTAGATTCTTGTGCAGATACGCCAGGCCGTCCACTAGCTGCCTCATGTAAAATCTCACCTCACTCTCGGACAACCTTTTCCTCCTCCGCATCAAGTCCGACATGGACTGGTTCCGACATAACTCGAGCAGGATGTACGCGTTGTCCGAGTCCTCAAAGAAATGCTCGAACTGAACAACTTGCGGGTGATGCAGCGACTTGTGAATCTTGATCTCCGACGTAAACTATGTTAAAAAAAAATTCAATAGAATCCGAGAAAGTACACAAGAAAAAAAAACGTTTATCAGCACCAATTTCTGCATCCACGCAAGGCCACAATGTTCTCACTTTCTGTTTGGCCTTAGGTTTCACCAGTGAACTTTTGGCCACCACTTTGCCCGCGTAAATCTTGCCCGTTTGGTCGCATTTTACCTCGTAACATCGAGCAAAACCTCCCTGAACAGCATAAAGCTCTGTGAGTCAGCAAGATACTTGCTTGTAGCAGCAGCAAGAGTACTCACCTTGCCCAGGAACTTGCCCTTGATATATGTACGTGTCTTGACGTAGCCCTTCGTGTCCAAATACGCCTCGAGGATCTGGTCCGGCACTACCGGTTGTGGTGTGGGCTCCTTCTTCTTCTTCTGCGCGGCCGGAGCGGGCGGTGGCACTGCATCAACTAACCTATCCATTTCTACATTCTCGTCTTGGTTACTGGTCTGCAGCGCGTGGCCAGGGCTAGACGCCCCGCTGCCTCGACGACTCTGTACGAGTTTGAACCGGTCGCTGTCGTATACGCGGCGCGACGCATCGCTACTGTTGCGCAGTTTGGCCCGCATTGTGGCCGACGTCTGGTTGCTGCCGGCCGCCGAGTTCTCCTTGTTTTCAGTCGTCAGCACCTCCGTCGGGTCGCGCGCCTGCATCGTCATGGCCGTCCGATGGTGACGACCGGAGCAAAACGGCGTTCAGATGTTCAAATTCAAAAGTACCGTGCAAAGAGTGGGCGCACTCCTCTGGATGGATATTATCCATGATATCGTACCTACAGGAGAGGACCTCATACTTGATCAAAAATAATCGGTTATTAAAAAACAGTCTTTTTATAAAAAAAAAGAGTGAGTTGAGGCACTGTGTAAAATCGTATCTATACGAAAAGGTATTTAAGCAAAAAATTACGTTGATACCTTACCGTGTATTCAGCAAGACAACCCATTTCTATAAGGAAGTGCCTAGATCCACCAACTATTTTTGTAGAAAAAGTACAATCTGGAATACCGACTTAATCCTAACCACACAATTGATTTTTTCGATTTTTAAAATTTTGACATTTTAAACCGTTCCTGTCCGCTCATTTCTTATCCCCCGTTCGCTTAAATAGAGGACGCGAAGAAGGTCAAGCGCGCGCCAACGCCAGGAGGTGGGCGCAGCTGGGAGGGAGACACGGCGCATGACAAGAAGCTTGCTGAGGGAAGGAACGAGATAACATCGAGGGGCAGCGGCGTAGAGTCACAAGGGGCCAGCACGCATCGGCCAGCAAAAAAGACGAAGAGGAGCGTCACCGACGCTGATGCCATCCCGCCAGGTGACGAAAACTCTCGCGATCCAGACGACGCTGATCAAGCCGAAGTTCGTGTGATGTGTGAGCCCTTCGCTGGGGTATTCGACTCGTGGGATGATATGGAGGCGGCATTCAGCGGGTATGTACAATTATTTGCAATTAATTTTATTTATCAATTTTGTTTTAATTAATAATTATTTTTTTTCTAGCTACCAGCGCGATACATTCCAAGTCTACAAACTGCGGACGAGCAACTCAATTAGAGATCGCAATCGAACTCGTGCTCGGCAAGCGGAGGCTCGTGGAACGCAGCCAAAGTTATGGGATGAAGCACTTCTGTACTACACGAAGGGATGGACATGCACTCACGAAGGTCAATTCAAGCCTAAAGGGCAGGGGAAGCGTACGAATCACACAGCACGTCGAATTCAGTGTCCTGCGAAGCTGAATGCATTGTTGTTCGTCGACGAGGATGGTTCTTTTCGCGTGCGCGTGAAGCTGCACGATTCCACACACAACCACGCCATCGGCAAGCACGTGTTCAACACATACGCAGAGACGCGGAAGATCACGTCACCTGCTACTCGAAGTGTCGTTCGGACAATGTGGCAAGGTACGCCGCAACCAACCAGGAAATTGTTTTATTATTTACGTATCACTAAGTTTGTTTTTATGAAGGTGGAGCCAAGAGAAAAAAAATCCTCCGATACCTGAAAGATGTATCTGGAAAGCCGATTCAAACGCAAGATGTAAACAACATGATCGCGGAGGAGACATGAGTCCTACACCTCGCCTGACGCCAACGTTCGCGTTACGGAGCTACTACAGGACTTCAGCGAGGGCCCCGGTAACGTGGTGAGGGTGTACCGAGACACGGACTCTAAGTTAACGAGCTGTATTGCCTTCCAGACGAGTCATATGAGGCGCATGGCGCGTCTGTTCCCTGAGGTGGTCTGCATTGATGCTACTCATGACACGAACATCAACAGGTGAGCAGAATGACGTAATTGGTTTGGTTGGTGACTCTGTTGGTATAGTTGGTATAATTGGAAAATAATTGGATACCCAATTTCGCTACCAATTACTATACCAACTACTATACCAATTACTTACCAATCATGTTTATTCAGCTTATATAAACATATCTTTCTAACCATTCTCAACTATTCCTTTCTAGGTATCGGCTTTTTAGCTTCATGGAGACGGACAAATTCGGGTGTGGAGCGTTTGCGCAACATTCACTGATTGATGGTGAAACTGAACAGAACATGAAAAACGCAATTTCGGCGCTCAAGATCTACAACGAATGCTGGAAGGAAATCCAAGTCATAGTTATTGACAAGGATTTTACCGAGCTATCCACACTCGAGGCTGAATTTCCTGAGGCTTCTATTATCCTGTGCCACTTTCATGTGATTGATTATCTCAAGCGAGAAATCAGTAAACGTGAGTACGGTTTTACGGACTTCGAAAAGCTTCACCTCAAGAACTTTATTACGATTATGGTTCGAGCTACAGCTGAGGAGTTATTTGATCACTACCTGAATGCTCTGAAGGTGTTATGTCGTGGGAAGTTGGCATTTGTGGAGTATTTGGAGACCAACTGGCTTTCGTGCAAAGATCGATGGTGTACATTCCGTCGAGGTGAGCTGCCACATCTCGATAATAACACCAACAATAGGCTTGAGGCTAGCTGGGGTGCTGCCAAGGACGTATTGTCGAGACACATGCCAATGGATGAATGTATTGAAACACTTCTATTTTTACAGCAGGCAGCTGAAGACTCTTACAAGATCAAGACTACACGGATCGGTCATCGTGTAAATCATGGCTACGACCGAGAAATGAAGATGATAGCTCGTATAGCCACGCACCATGCCTGTAATCTCGTGGAGGAGCAGTTCAAGGCTTGTCAAAAGGCAGAATACACAGTGGTAGCAGATGCAGTGGTAGCAGATGGACTGACGTCAACGTTTCAAACTCCCATAAGCAAAGTAACTCAGCAAGACTACGCGGTATGTTGTTTATTGATTTATTTATTTTTAATTTTCCTCACTTTATTCTGGAAATTCAAATTCTGCAGGTGAACGTGGATACAAACACGTGCAGCTGCGTCTTCAACCAGACTCAAATGTTACCGTGTCGCCATATTATATTTCTGCGGCTTCAGCAGTCAAAATCTACGGCTATTCCCTGCGAAAATATCCCGCCACGATGGTGCTTGCTTGAAGAAGCTGAGGATGCTGACCTGCGCCCAGTGGAGGTGTCTAGCTTTGCGATTGCAGACATGCCTGGGGTGAAGTCATCAAAAGTGATTTCACACAATGCCAAGTACAAGAACGCATTTGCCGTCTGCCAACGGATCGCCGAAGTCGTTGCTGACAAAAGGACGACAGACTATAGTCGATGGCTTTCGCATCTTGAGTGCCTCGAGCGGAACGCTAGAGATAATGGGAGCCCCGTACCGGTTGGTGCGGATGATAATTGTGGAGAAAGCAACATGATTAATGACGGTTCTGTAGAAGTGAGTACAACTAGACGCCGTCTCGATATGGAGAGTGTGACCAACGACAATGGAGTATCTGACAAGGGGAACCACGCGCCGACTACGAACGAGAACGTGGCAGAGCTACCTCTGTCCGCGGTTCACTTGAACGAAGCTAGTCGTCCGTCTGGACGGCCACGGTTGCAGCAGGCGGTAAAGAAATCTAAACGCAAGAAATAGTACAAAGAGAGCCATGAACTTGCCGGCCGCCCAACTACAATCGAGGATGTGACGCTCGCCAAGTTTGCCGAGCTTGCGCTGCACGAGGCAATTACGCTGTCTGAGATTGAAGACGTGTTTAGTGGTCTTCAACTTATGCATGCAGATGCGGTTTTCAAGCGTCCCAAGGCGAAGCTGCTCACCGATTTGTCAAGTGACGCATGTGAAACTAAAGTCCGTGGTATTCTGCCTGGTAAGTTTGCTATCTTGTGCTTGAGCTGGTATAATTGGTTCAAAACTGGTATAATTGGTAAGCAGTTGGGATATAATTGGACTCCGTGTACCAAACACCAATCCTGCACCAATTACCAACGACTCGATACCAACTATTGTGTGAATTAAAACTAGCATATATTAACTGTAAATTGTAGTTGCGCTGGTTAAGAAGTGTATCTCTGCAATTGAAAACGTGATACTCCGCGAGAAAGCAAACAATGGGAGGGATGTCTCCCATGACGATGTTGCCGTGGTAATTTTGAAGGTGGGAACGTTTCGGGCAACTGATATTGCTCATATGCAGCAATGGCATTCCATGGCATCCGTTTTTCGAGGAGCAAAGGCGCTGGTATCATGGATTAAAAGTGTGAAGATTGAGAATCCTGATGATGAGGAAGAGAGAAATGCTATTGTGGAAACTGTTTTAGAGTTAGATCTACGCGGCTCTAATAATTCTGGTGGAGTGTCCGTGGAATTTGCCGAGCTTGCTAGATTTGGCGACGACAGTCATACCGGTATCTTCTAACCCTAAGCTCACATGTGTTTTTCAGATTTCGTCCATTTTATGGCGAAATAGTTGGTGAATGCAACGAGTACCTTTCTATAATATCCAAAGGGTTCGAAGACTCTCGTTTGGAGCTCCCCGCGCGTTCTTAATTCCCACCTCTTTGGCAGCAACTTGGGAGGGATGACATAGTGGGTGGGAGGTATGATGGTTTTTTTGGTTTTATTGTTGATTTCATGGAATTATTTTAATGTTTTTCGAAGTGTAATCGTGTATTGGTAATGTAGTAATTTTGGTCAACCCAAATAATACCGCGCTTGGCTGACGGTCATGTCCTTTTATGCCCATTCACAATCTCAAGCGACCTTATTTGCCTATAAGTTTCGCTGGACATGGGGTGGAGAGATGGGTTATTTGGCACACAAAATATACATTTGTAGTACAAAAACGGACCGGTATATTTTCTGATGACCATCTAAATGTTCGGTTATTGTCTGCGACATCTTCATACTTGGAAGCTTCTTGACGTCCAGTTAGTTTTCTACGACGTGTGAGCACTCGGAAGCTTGTGTAGACGTTAGCGTGACCACTACGTCGAGCGTGGGTATAGTCTGATTGGGTTTAGCAACGAACGGGTGGCTCAGAGAGATCTGCTTGCATGTCAAAACGATAAGTTGACGCACAATCACTTTAAAAAGGACGTTGAAGGTCAGTGTTCTTATGCCAATACTTTAATTGAGCTAAACCGTAGTGAATGGGGCTGGACGTTCCAGGTAATATAAGACATGACGTAGTTCATTTCCAAATTTACCACTATGGAGACTACCAAGCGCCTCGGGGGAAAACGCGACGAAGCCTGGAGCGAGATTGACGTGGATGCAGACGG